GATTTCAATTAATTGCTCGACTTTTACTTATGAGGACAAAATTATTCATTTTGACTTAGGGACATGTTATTTTAAATACAGCTGCATTAGTTCGCATCTAACCAAGTATTTACCATCAATATTCATCTTTACAACTCATGTTTGGTCAACCACTAAATGTTTCACATCTACGAAATTTTAATTGCATTGACATGTCTTAATTGCACCCCACAACATACTAAAATGAATTCTCAATGTTGATTAAGAATATATATTGGGTACGATTCACCTTCAATTATTAGGTATCCTAAACCTTTTGACATGTGAATTTTTCTCGCAAGATTTGCGAATTGTCATTTAAATGAGACACATTTTTCGTCATTTGGGGGAGGAAATTCGCCACCTAAAGATAGGCATGAACATTCTTGGAATGTATAATATATTTCTCATTTTGATCCATGTACTTCTCAATGTGAAACTGAGATACAAATAATCATACATCAACAAAAAAATTAATACTCAATTGTTTGATGAATTTACAGATGCAACAAAAGTGACAAAATCATATATATCAACCATGAATATTCTGACAAAGATTGATATTCCAATTGAAAAACTTATAACTGCAAATGAATTGTCAATTGCACGTCTAAAGCGTAGATTATGGTTCAAAAAATTTAGCTTCCCGAAAGAGAAGAACAAAAGACCAATTACATATAACTTATAAAGAAGTTGTTGAGTTAGAGCATCTCCAAGGGAGATATCAAATATTATATGTTAAATTTAAATTAGGTCTATATGGCAATTTGACATATTCACCTTACCCTCCAATCAATGTGTCAAATGTTATATGCCAAAATTTATGTGATGCATGAGTAAGAAGTTGAGATATGCTAAGATTTGATATGGGAGACAAGATATTTGGCCAGTACAGTCAGCATTTGATATAGCTGTTGGAAAAGGAAGGAATGTTAAAAAGAGTTGTTGGAGTTGTCCAAGTGTAATTTGACAACTCGGTTGAAGTTGCTCTTAGAAAACTAAGATGCAGCCACATTATCTCGAATAATATCCCTTGAAGAGGAAAAAATCCCTGAAGAGGCAACAGACTCCTGAAAAGATACAGATATTTATGAATAAAGAAATTTTTATTAATTATGCATGTGCACGAGAATTGTGGGATCACACAGAAATGGTTATTAATGGTGTAGTCTGTTTCAGTGGCAACTGAAATAATAAAAGATGATCATCTAAAGTGCACTCTATGGATGAATGCCAATTTATGCATGATTAACCAAAGTGAAAAAAAATATCCAAATAGAATTAGATTCTCTGGAAAAAAAAATGTGGAATGTTTGGACTTACAATCCTAACCCTTTATGGTATAAAATCAACATGTTATAAAATGAGTATTCGTGAGAAAAAAATGAAATGACAAAAATGAGATCACAAGATATAAAGTACGCCTTATGGAACAACGTTCTTGCAAAGACCCATGATTAATTATGAAGAAATATACTCACCGATAATATATGTCATTACATTTCAGTATTTGATTAGTCTGACAGTTTCAGAAAAACTCGACATACGTTTTATGGACATAGTTGCCACATACTGTATGGAATTTTAGACACCGATATTTATATGAAAGTCCCTTAAGGACTAAAATTGTCCGAAACAAATATATCGAAACCATGAACATTTACTCAGTTAAATTGAGACCATTATTGTGTAGATTAAAATAATCTGGCAGAATATGGTATCACCGTCTTAGTGGGTATTTTGTACAAAAATGGTATGTTAATAATGTCATATGCTTGTGTGTGTGTTTCTAAAAATATCAGATTCTAAATTTATAATTCTTACAGTATATGTTGTTCATATGAATCTAATTGAAACTCCTGAAAAGTTAATGAAAGCTATTGAATATTTGAAAAGATAATTTGAGATGAAAGATCTTAAGAAAATAAAATATTATCTCAACGTAGAGATTAAGCATACATCCAACAATATTTTTATCCATCAAACAATTTATATTGAAAAAGTCTTAAAACGGTTTAATATAGATAAGATATATCCACTAAATACTCTGATGATCATTCAATTACTTGATGTCAAAAAAAATTATTATCGTCCTAAAGAAAAAGATGAAATACTTCTTGGTCCTAAAGTACCATACGTGAGTGTTACAAGTGTTTTATTATATTTAAGATAATGTACTATGCTTGAAATAACATTTGCAATTAATTTATTGGCAAGATATAAGATTGCTCCAACTCAATGACATTAAAATGTTATAAAACACATCATACGTTATCTCCATGGAATTACAATTTTGAGCTTGTTATATTCAAAATAATATGGCGGTGAGCCAAATTTTGAAGGATATGCAGATTCTAGATATCTATCCGATCCTCACAAAGCTCGTTTACAAAATCGAGTATGTAGTGGTAATACAACAATTTCATGACGATCTACAAAGCAAACCTTGATTGCTACATTCTTTAATCATTGTGAGATATTAGCACACCATGAAGCTTATTGTGAATGTTTATAGCTAAGATCTCTGGTCCATCACATTTGAAATACATATCGACTCCCTTTAACTACATATTCACCAACAACATTGGATGAATATAATGTTGCTTGTATCACACAAATCAAAAGAGTATTTATTAAATGTGATAGAACAAAACATATATCATCAAAATTCTTTTACACTCATGAATTCCAGCGGACTTATGAAATTAAAGTAAAGTTGATACTATTGAGTGATAATCTTGCAAATCTATTCACTAAAGTCTTATCATCATCAACATTCAAAAAGTTGGTATACGGTCTTGGAATGCGCAATTCAATTGATTTTCTTATTAGAGGGAGTATCTACATCAAGATATAAAACAATTTGCACGTTGTACCATTTTTCCTTCGTTTAGATTTTTATCCCATTAAATTTTACCGACAATATTTTAATGAGGCACCATTCGTTCATCCAATACTATTTTAAAATAATGGTTATTTAAGTGAGAGTGTTAAGACATACCATGTGGGGTGGATGACCACACACCCACCACTTGTGTAATGGTCTCTTCCCACAAATCAACTACCACAATTAAATTCTATGTGAACGAAATAAGAAGAAAAAAAATAGTTTGTTCTTAAAGATCAACACATTGATATATTAAATTATTGAAAAGACTTGTTTTATATATAATTTTATGCATTAATCTCTTAATATTTCATTAATTTCACAACATTTTTAATTTTCTTGTCTTTTTAATTATTTTTTTAGATAACATTAGTTTTTACAGTTTCAATTTTTTTAAAATTTTTTTCTTATCCAAACTTTCTCTAATTGGCAGATTTCACAAATGCAAAAATGGTGCCTCACTCATACATCAACATGCACATGCAATACTTTTGTTACAAAGTAGCAATCCCCATCATTTTACTTTTTTGATAATACATACATCAGTCATGAAAAACATATACAAGATTAATTCAAGAATTGTAGCAAAACACAATTTACAACATCATAAAGTCAAGTCAAAGTCAAGGTTGCGAACTTGTCTAGGGTACCCGAAAAAAGTATATATATTATATTAACATTTATTATGTTTGCGAGTGTTTTTATTATTGTTATGGTACTAAAAAAAGTGGTAAAAATAATTATTATAATAGTGATAAAAAAAATTTCACAAATGTAATAAATCACCCATAAAAATAATAATTTTTTTTTTGTTTTGAAGAAAAGTGCACTCACAATAATGATAAATTTTTTAATTATAAAATGATCAATAAAAAATATAAAAATATCAATTAAAATAAATAAATTTTAGAAATAGGAGGCCAAATTTTTTGTTGGATACCACAGTCAAGTTGTAAGGTTGCTGGGAATAAATTCAGAGAAGGGTGACTAAAGTCCAAGAAGTGGTTGAGAGTAATAATGCGCCTGCAAATGAAGAATAGCTCTTTTTTTTTGGTAATGGGACCCACAGAGCACTCATACTGGATAGTTACTAACCAGGTGAGGGCTGTGGCATCCTTTAACTGCAACACACACTCAAAGGCTATTTCACGTGGGATAGCCTCAGCCCCAGCCCCAGCCCCAGCCCCAGCCCACCCAGGCCCTAAAGCCTCACCCGACTTATGTGGTCAGGCAAATGAAGAATAGCTTGTCGAGTGGCATTGCATGCGGACAGATCTGGCTTCGCACGTGCACATCTACTCTGTGTGTCGTTTTCTCTCTGGAATCCAGTCAGTTGGGAGTTGTAGACATCTGGCAGAACTGAGAGTAAAGAGGAAGAGACACCTGACAGTCTGAGAAACGTCTGATATCCAAGTGAGGGAAACTGTCTTAGGTGCCGTCAATTACTACTTTATATGTTAAAATAATAATTTTTTTAAAAAAAATTATAATTGCTTAAAAATGTCATGATCAATCATAAATATTTATGATCGATCATGAAAAATACGATATCAATCATAAATACTTATAATCAATCATGGAAAACGCAATATCGATCCCAACAATGTATGATCAATCATACTTTTTGAAATTGTAACTTACACCTCAAAAAAATTATATTTTAAACTTAAAAAATTATAATTTTCGATACCAATACCGACGACAATAGTGTAAAAGTTCCCTCCAAGTGATATCATGAGATCAAAGTATATTCTCCATTGTTATAATGAATAGTTGCAGGCAAATTTGTTTTACTCCATAGTAAAAATATCTGATCATTGTTATCATGGACATAAGCAAAAAATTTCCCAAACCACGTACTTCTCTTGTGTTTTGTTACCTACCTAAGTACTCAAATTGTAAACTCGTCACAACACAATGAGGTCTAAAAATTCCAAATTGACTTTAAAATTTTATATTTTTTCCGAGTTTCTTAATTGAACCGAAATCGACCCCACTAAGTAATAACTTAACCAATTGAGTTGTAACTTAATTTAATTGCGTCATAAATCAGAACTTAGGTACGATAATGAAAAGTTGTAGAAGCATTCTACTTCGGAAAAGTGAAAAGTTACAGAAGAATCCTGTTAGTAGTAATCCTACATTAAATCATCATTTGCAACTTTCTGAGGTATTGAATTAATCACCTAGCAGAGTCTTGTAGATATTGGAGGGATATACAATATGAACAAAACATTTGCAAACCTAATGCTTTATTTGAGGCTGTCTTCAAAATTGCTAGAAGAACATTCAATTATGCATAATACATGAACAAGCTACTTCCAGCAGCACCGGCAATCAAGTTGGTTCTTGGATGCCAAGCCAGATGCAGCAACTTAGAATTTAAGTCCAACGGGATGTCATGGCGTCCTGCATCAGAAATTTCATGCCCTAAAAATCATAAAACAGGCAGTTAAGTTTATGAACTCAAACTATGAAGATGTGTGAAAAATGAAAAAGTGAAAAAAAAAAAATTGGTAACATGAACCTTGTCTGTAAAATCCGCGAGTCAAGTTGCTGAGAGAAGATCTTCTAGCCCTTGTACCAGATTGAAGAAGTGACTTCCTGCAATATAGGATAGAAAAAAGAATTTTGAAAAGAACAAACAATCAACATTTGAGACAAAAACAAAGAATAAGGTACCTGTTTGGATTTTTGCTAGCTTCCATTATGATCCCCTCTTCACTTCCGACTCCACAGGAAAAGATACGCAAAAGATTGCTAAGTCACACAGGAGAAAATTATTAGTCACTCAGAGCTGCATGAGTTGATATGTAAAATACAAGATAAAGCTGGAGAACAATAAGCATTTTCCTAAGATATTAAGACAGCATATTAAAACTTTATTCAAAGGACAAACCTATAAGATCCAGTTGCAAAGTGAAGTCCATCTCCACTGAGGCAGCATTCAAATTTATCAAATATGGCATCGTTATTGTATAAATCACCTAACTGTGCAACAAAGGTAAACTGTCAGCCATAGGGAAGGATGGGGTTGCAAATTGCTTCTGAGGGGACTATCAAGAAAGAATTATGGAATTAAATCATGCATTTATTAGCTTCATTGGCTATGAAGCCATCATACTAATTGCTATTCCTTCAGGAGGTAGGTTCACTGATCATCATTTGGAAAGCCCAAATGATTAACAAATAGCAACTGTTTACAATAGACACAGTAATATTGCTTCAAAGCTATCTATACACTCGTTGATGGGTTCAAGAAATTGCACTCTTTAAACATGAATAAATATCACAGTGGAAAACATACATATGTCTGACAGCTATGACTGGTTTCCTTGGACTTTGTTCATCTATGCAACATTTGATTTAAGGAAATTCGAATGTACCCTAATACTGAATGTGATGAGGCAAAGTGAATATAAATTATGACTTAACTCCACAAATAATAAAATAATAGATGCATGCTCTGCAAAGAAAGAATAAAGATATATTGTATATAAAGTAATCTCACACCATCAAGTATGATCATCCCTTACATCATTATTTATGAGATATCTTCTGCCGCTAGTTGTTACAAAAAAGTGTGCATACCTTAGGGCGGAGGTGCTCATGAATCTTATATGTTGCAACTGGAGAGGTCTCCATATGTGTATCCCACAGCTGAAAAAAGGTTAGAAAACATCTATTAGCACATATATGGTTGACATGAAGGAATTATCTCCATATTTGTCCGGAGATGACGCACAGAAAGAAAAGGAATTACGCCACCTGTGGAACAGAAATCATAACAGGCAATTGCACAAAATTAAACTACATTGTATCTTGTCACCCCAAAGTAAGAGAAGAATTAAGGAGCACAAAGTTAAAAGTTAGAAGGACAGCGTGCAAGCCAGAAAAAAGCACTACATCTAGTGGAAATCAATGCTCCTAAAACTACAGCGGATATATCATCAGTTCTTGTTATCGGTTGCCGACACAATAGCCTTCTTCAGTGTACCAGATGTCCTAGGATGTACTTGATCTTCTCCAAATAGAATTTCAAATCTGGGGAAGGCAACTACAATATAATGGATCGGTGTGAAAAGGTAGGCCAGTTCCAATCTAAGTCGTGAGGGTGCAACCCATTCACATCTAAATAGAATAAGAAGCCTAGGTAAGAATGTGGGGAGTTAAAAGACCTTTAAATTCATGTAATCACGACTTAAGATGTGCCTTCCATCAGTTGCAAACTTCATATCAGATATGGATGCGATGATCTCTGTGAAAAATGTTTTCACACCACGGGGCTCAGCATCTTGCAATCTGTAAGTAAAAATTCAGATCACAAGTATCAGACAAATGGACAATGCCAGACACTGTGGTATGGTTGAACAAAAATTTGGCAAGCTGAAAATTGGACTAGCAGCATAGCATATGAACCAGGGAAATGCGATATAAACATGACCTAGAACTTACATCCTTGCACTGCCGTCACAGAGTGCTGACTGTCGCATGTCTATGAGCCGAATAAATCCCCTTGAACTGCTGTAAGCAAGCAGATTGCAGTGAAGCGGATGGAATTCAGCTGATGTTAGCACCTCTGCATCATTTTCAATTAGTAAATAGTGATCATAACTCTGAATAAGAAGAGCAGGGTGAAGGAGATAGATAGGTCTTTCGTATAGTCTCCTCTTAGCTTGCTCTTTCTTAGTTCATTTGAACATTCATCATGGGGTCTATGAAGGGTATAACTGCTTGACATATATGTTCAAACAAATTTCGGTGGTTGTGATACTCAGAGAATGGCCAAAAAATTACCTGTAAGATCCTCCATGTTTGACGGCTTCATGTCAATAATATTGAAACACTGATCACTGACCTCAAGGTTCCACAGGTTTACCCTTAGGTCGTCAGCCGAAAGAAATGTCTCACCATCACTACACAAGAATTACAAAAAAAAGCATGTCATCTAAGGAGCAGCGCCCATCATGTCTGTTAATAACTTCTATATGCTAATGAAATTTTGCCCTTCTGCAACTTAAAACATTATTCTAGGGGAAATTCTTCAACACAATAACTTTGAGAGAGAAAGAGAGAATTCATAGCTTATGTACTGTTAAGATTGTATTTATATTTATGCTTATTTGATATTACCGGTATTCTAGTCTTTCTTTTGCAATAGGGTTTTATATATAGTGTCTCTTGTACTTACCTAATTTTTTTTAATTTTATGGAACCGTGGTGTAGTAGTTTTCTTTTCTTTCTTACTCTTCTTCGTATGTATTTTCTTCTTTGCAAGTTTATGTAAATGTTTATGGTATCAGAGCAAGGTTCCCATCAGTCGTCGTTCTTTGGATTTGAAATCATTGTAGCATGAACAGTGTTGTTAACAGTTCTCTCCAATACAAAACTCTCTTGTTTTTGTGTGGTTTTGACTATAATATGGACGTTAGGTTTTCATATGTTGGAGACTTGTGACTGCTATCGTGTTACTTTCTTTAAAGTTTCTAAAATTACATAGAATACCCTTAATTTTTAGAAACTATAGAAATTTTAGAATCAGTCCAGCAAATTGCAGAAGTTGCAGATTCTACCCCAAAAAAGTACAAAAAAGTGCAGAAGTTGTAGATTCTGCTCCAGCAAAATGCAAAAATTACAGATTCCGCCCGAGCTATATTTCTTTTATTTATGATTATAGTCGTTATTGTTGTGTTTATCAGATGAAGCAGCAATCTGAATTTTTTTCTATCTTTGCTACTTTTCATACCATGGTTCACACACAATACTCTGCAATAATTAAATGTTTTCGGTGTGATTTGGGTAGGATTTATTGAAATATGATGGAACTATTCAACAGTCACAGACACATTATGGAGACAACATGTTCATTATTTTTATCTGCATCTGTTCCTAGCTCTTTTTGGGGAGAGACAGTTCTCACAATTGTTCACCCTATTAACCGAATTTCTTCTATTATTACTTCGAGTGTTTCCCTTTTTAAAAGGTTATATGGTAAACCTCCTAATTACTTCTCATTACGTACATTTGGCTGCACTTGTCTTGTTCTTCTTCCTAAATCTGAATGAAATAAGTTATATGCTCGTTGTACTATGTGTGTTGTATGGATGTTATGACCCCGTTGTAAAAAGATTATATGTATTTAGACATGTGGTCTTCCTTGAGCATATTGCTTTCTTTTGAATTCCTTTCGCTGCCGACACATTTAGTAAAATTTGACCTGATTCATATTGATCATTTCCCTAATGATATTTTCGGTGATTCTTATATTTATGACATGTTCACTTCTGACATTCATTGTTCGCCTCAATCTTCCTCTTTCTCAATTGCACCTTCTCCGATTTCCACACTACAACACCTCCACCTTCACCTCATCCAGTTGTATCTCTACCAGCTTCTGATGATGTGGATCATCAATCTTTTCGCTATCCTAAATGCATTCGTAAGTGTCCTAATTGCCTTGGTTTTTCTTAAACTTGTTACTCCTATGATTATTGTTCATTTTTATACTCTATTCGCTCTTTTTGTAAGCTTACCTCCTATAAAGAGGTTCATTTTCCTCTATTGTTCATTCCGGTAATCATGATTCTACTATTTTTCTTCTTTTCACTTCCACTAGTCAGATTGTTCTTCTATTATATGCTGATGACATGATTATAATTGGAGACAATTATGGGGGTATCTCAATTTTGAAGGCTCATTTAAAGAAATAGTTTGAGATAAAAGATCTTGGTGTCCTTCATTGTTTTCTGGTCATTAAAATGACTTCGCCATCTAAGGGTTATCTTCTTTCTCACTCAAAGAATGCTGCTGATGTTACCCACAGGGCACAATTAACTGATTCTCGGACTGTTGAGACTCCTCTCGAGCTCAATATGCATTACACTTCTACTAATGGTGTCTTTTTTGCTGATCCTACGTTATACCAGATTCTTTTTGGTAACTTGATCTATCTCATTGTTACACAACCTGATATTTGCTTATTGTGTTCCTGTTGTAAGCCAGTTTGTCAACTCTCCGACTACAATTCACTGGGTTACAGTTCTCCATATTTTGCATTATCTTCGAGGCACTTTATATCGGAGTTTGTTGTTCTTTTTCACTTCTTTTTTGGAGTTTCATGCCTTTCTGATGCTGACTGAGTAGGTGATACCATGGATCGTAAATCCACTACTGATTTCTTTGTCTTTTTGACTGATTCCCTAATTTCTCGGAGAAGTAAGAAACATCTACTCTAACTTCTATGTATTGTGACAACAAAGTGTGTCATTCAAATTGCACAACACTCTATTTTCTATGAGCAGATTAAGCATATTGAGATTGATTGTCATTTTGTGTGCCACCATCTTCAATTTTGGACTATTTCCTTGCCTTTTGTTTCTTGTATTATGGAAGTGGTTGACTTTTTCATGACACAATACATTGTGTTTTCTTATTGACAAACTCTCAATGCTTCCTATTGCATCATGAGTTTGAGATGAGATGTTAAGATTGTATTTATATTTATGTTTATTTACTATTAAGGGTATTCTAGTCTTTCTCTTGTAGTAAGATTTTATATACAGTGTCTCTTGTACCAACCTAATTTTTTAAAATTTTATGGAACCTTGGTGTAGTAGTTTTCTTTTCTCTCTTACTCTTCTTGGAATGTATTTTCTTTTTTTGCAAGTATAAGTTTTCATGTATAACAAAAATTAATGAAAAAACTCTCTCCACTTGGACCATCTTTTCACTGTGGGGATAGACAGAGTTTAAAGTGAGAAAAGAAAGGAAAAAGTATTAGGCAAAAAAAATTACCTATTATTTGAGATGGAGTTAATATTGAAATCATGAGCATGAGCATACACCTTTCGACATCTTGCCGAAACAGCATCTCTGATACTTGCCATCTAGTTACATGATAAACTGACATTACAACTTTGTGCATTATCCTTTGTGAAATCCAATAGAGCAAGATGCATATCACAAAGAATCTTAGAATGTTAATAACTACCTTGGCATGCCCTAATTGAGATGATAACGTGCCATTGGCGATATTCTCTGACCATTCTAGACTATAATCATTAGCAAAAGATGGGTTACGTTGCCCACCAACAAAACTCTTTTCAGCCAAAAGCGAGTTCTCTGAAGACACCACTGGATTAAGGTCCACTTCTTTGACTTTCTTCACTTTATGTTCCTTGACCTGGCTTTGAAAACCACAAAATAAGCTAGCATAATTAGAGTAAAGGACTAAGTTAGCATAACTAGATTAAAGAACTAGTCAATCAAGGGTCTTAAATAAGTTAGAAAAACTAAGTGAAAGCTAATACATAAAGGTTCTTAGGAAGTGCATCCAGGGGGAACCTCCCATAGTGGACAGATAAATAAAAAAATTTACAAAACTTTACCACCAGCTCTTAGTTGGGCACTTTTGGTGCAATCCATATAATAGTCAAAACATAATTTACCCAACAATATTTTCTCCCGTTTCCATTTTATGTTTAGCTTTCCATTTATTTACATTTAAAAAATAAAAGAAGAAAAGTGGTAAAGAGTTTACAACAATCATGTTTGTTGTAAAGAATCTTAAAGTGTATGAAGAAGCCTCAATGGCTAGAGTAATGCACTATGAAAAATTGTACCTTCCACAGTTTTATCGTCTTGTCATTTGTTGACAGAATAAATAATGATCCATTGGGTGTTGTACACCATCTCACTTTGTTGATCTTCTCTTCAATTTCCAAGCTCTTCAAATAGTCAAACTATAGAAAATGTAATACCATCAGGATCTGCAATGCACACAGAACGCCCAAATATATGGAACATTTTTCTGGAAACAGGTAAACAAAAAAAAAAAAAGGCAACCGAGGTACATATAGTCATCTTTACAGCACACCTCGGGCTCGTGACTCTGGAATTCAGTCTTGTATTGAAATTCAGGACACTTTCTCACCACAAAATCCGATTGTTCAAGCTCGTTTTGTGAATTGAACTCATTTATATCCTACAAGGCCAAGAAACAAGGACAAATAGACCATATTACACCTGGTTGATGAAACATTTTATAGAACTGCTAGCCTTACGAACATATTGAGTAAAAAGGATTCTAACAATTTTTTATGATAAAGATCTAAAGAAATAATACAAATCCATATCGTGTACCTTCCTCTCAAAAATTACAACACGCCCACCTCGATCTCCAACAGCGAGATAGTCACCGCTCTTCTCAAATTCGATTGCAGATATGACATCAACTATAAGAAATGTCAAAATTTGTGATGTCAATAACCAACGAAGAATGCCAAACAGTCCACCAAGACTAACCAAACTTGAACTTGAAAATGAGTATGACCTTCTGGGAAATTACGAAAAATATGCCAGTGTGCAACATCTTATAATAATTCTCCAAAAACTGTATGAATCCTTATTTCGTAGTGTTCATTAGCAGCTACATCAGCATACATGAAAAGCTACGCAGAATTTAATAACTATAACTAGAATGTGAAGTGGGGGGAAGTTCATATTTGCAATAAACATAATTTTCAACACAGCAGCCCTTAAGAGACTGGGTGGAATAAGATGGCACAAATTTCTACAATTTAAAAACCAAAATATTCGGAATATGGTAGGATGGTAGCACAGCAGAAACATCAGCAATGGCATTCCTAGGAAGGGAGATAAATATAGGCAAGGGTATACTGATGAACATAATATCTCAGGTAGTAGTGGGAGGATTAAGAAGCAAATATCACTGCTGTCAGTTCTCATGTGAGGAATATAGTTTTCTGAAACTAGGTCGACTATTTCCGAAAATCTGGTCAGTTATTGTAAAATCTTCAGCTTCAAAGATATCATTGACATAATCATTCCAGACATTACTATGGGGCAACAATGTAACCTATCAAGAAGCATTTTTGAGAGAATGACTGGACTAGCTGAAATGGTTCCTACAGCCAAGACAACTTTAAGGTCATGTTGGAAATAGAGCAGGTCAACAAATTGTAGAGGATTGACTATACTAATGATATGAAAAATTGACGGCTGTGAAGCATATAACATGTCTTCAAATTCAAAGAGCAAAAAAATGCCAAATTTAGGTATGCCTTACGTCCATCACTCCAACCAACCTGGGTAAGCAGGAACCACTGGGTAATGGCCTTTTTATAAGAGGCAAAACGGATATTAAAAAAAATCAATTCAGAACTTAACTACGGAGAGAGAGATTTTGAAAAACAGAATTGCTGTCAACACAGAGATTCCACACACAACTTTCTAAGCAGAATGATTTGGTTCACTAGCATTCTTCATTCCAAAATAAAGTGTCATGGTATTTGAAAAAATACTACTGCTACACCATTCAATATGGCAATTCTTGCTAAAAAAATTGTTAGTGAAACATTAAATCAGAGTTTCCAAACAAGTTTCCATCATGAGTTGAATCGAATTGAAAGCCACGAGCAATTCTACTTCGGCTTTTGGTTTCACACAAGGTTTGTCATAACTAAATAAGTTGAATCAAATTCAAATTCAGCTTCCCTACTACTACACAAGAAATAGAATCATCATTACAAGCCATGAACCAACCAACACCAATACACCATTGCTCAACTCACCTCGAGTATCTCTCCAGAAAGGCTCCATAATTAGCAGAGCTCATAGCTTTTCATATAAAATTACATCTATGTATAATTGTATATACATGTGCCCGTATGTAGAAAGATACAGAGAGAGAATGAGAGAGAGAGAGAGATTACTGTCTTGGACGTCCTCTCCGGGACTTCGATCGCCGAAAACCTGCGAGAATTTCCACTGTGAAGTCGAAGGCGAAGAATCTGAGCTCAAAGTCATGGCTGCTTGTGAAACGCCAAGGTGGTGTTTCGAGCTCCAAAGGGCACCTTTATAGCATCTCCATCACAAACGCACACACGTAGAGAGAGAGATAGAGGAATTCTAGTTCGACAACGACACTCTGGGCGTCAAGCTTTTTCTCGGCCTTGCCATTATCTCATTCGATTTTCTCGGAAAAAATTTTGCCGGCTAACAATGTTAATTCTTTCTTTGTCCCTTTTTTTTTGGATAATTTCAATGTCGCCCACGAATATTTGGATTTATTATCCAATTAAACCCTAACCTCTCAATATTAACACGCTAGGGTGAACTCCACACAAAATAAGTTTTTTTTTTAGTGTGATTAAAACGTAATGTAGAGAGAGAGGGAGAAGAAAGAATTCTAGTTTGACAACGAGACTCTGGACAAAGAATTCTAGTTTGACACCGAGACTCTGGACATCATTCTTTTTTTCGGTCGTTTTATTATTCCATTCAACTTTTTCAAAAGCGAGAGAAAGAAATTATAGTTCAACATCGAGATTCTGAGTGTCATTTTTTTTCTTGGTCTTTTTGTTATCCCATTCGATTTTCCCCAAAATAGTTTAGAGTTGATAACAATGTTAATTCCTTCTTTGTCCTTTTTTATGGATCATTTCAATGTCACCCATGAATATTTGGGTTTATTATCCAATTAACTCCTAACCTCTCGATATTAACACATTAGGGTGAATCCCACACAAAAAAAGTTTTTTTAGTGTGATTAAAATGTAATGCATAGAGAGAAAGAGGGGAATTCTAATTTGACAACGAGACTCTGGACATCATTCTTTTTCTCAGCTTTTCTAGTATTCCATTCAATTTTTCTGAAAAAAAGTTTCCCAGTGCTAACAATGTTAATTCCTTCTTTGTCCTTTTTTTTTATGGATCATTTCAATGTCACCCACGAATATTAGGGTTTATTATCCAATTAACCTCTAACCTCTCAATATTAACACACTTGGGGGTGAACCCACATAAAACAAGTTTTTTTTAGTGTGATTAAAATGTAACACAAAGAGAGAGAGAAAGAGGTATTATAGTTCGACAATGAGACTATGGGTGTCATTCTTTTTCTCAGCCTTTCTATTATCTCATTTTATTTTTCCCGAAAAAAAGTTTCACGGTGGTAATAATATTAATTTCTTCTTTGTCCTTATTTTTTTTGAATCATTTCAATGTAACTTGATGAATATTTGGGTTTATTATCCAATTAACCTCTCAATATTTAACACACTAGGGTGAACCCCACACAAAATAAGTTTTTTTAGTATGATTAAAATATAACGCAGAGAGGGAAAGGGAGGAATTATGGTTTGACAACGACTCTGGGTATCATTCTTTTTCTTAGCCTTTCTATTATCCCATTCGACTTTCGAGGAAAAAGCTTCGTGGTGGTAATAATGTTAATTCCTTTTTTGTCTTTGTTTTTATTTTTGGATCATTTCAATGTAACCCATGAATATTTGGGTTTATTATACAATTAACCACTCAATATTAACACACTAGGGTGAACCCCACACAAAATAAGTTTTTTTAGTGTGATTAAAATGTTACGCAGGGAGACAAAGGGAGGAATTGTAGTTCGACAACGAGACTCTAGGCGTCATTCTTTTTTTCAGACTTTCTATTATCCCTGATGGGTCAGGTCCAAAGGCCCAACCCATGTTATAAGCTTGGTTCAAGCTAAATGCCCAATGTCAAGAGATCCAATTAGTCAAACCCAAAGGAGTCTACACCCGGATAATCTTATCAAGATCAAGGAGTTGTAGGGAAACATGCATGGTCATCCAAGAATCTCCTCTACCACCTTGGAATAAGGGTCATCCAAGAGTCTCTTCTATCACCTTGGAGTAAGGGTCATCCAAGAGTCTCCTGTACCACCTTGGAGTAAGGGTCATCCAAGAGTTTCTACGCCACCAAGGGAGCATCCAGGAGCCTCACCCTCGCAGCCTGTAGAGAGTTAACCTCCCTCATCCTTGAACAAGTCCTTTGGAGAGCACACCAACCGTCACACCTCGCCCGTTGAGAAGATGATAGGTCGCCTCCGCCAGATCAGCTACCTAATTACTATCAAATGGTCCTAAGTCATTATGACCGTCAGACTAGTCATACAATTACTATACCAAGCCACTATAAATTGTAAACTCCCCCAACACTTGGGGGGTATCAGACTTATTGGAGCGTAACTTTCTCTCTTCTCTCAAAGCCTGCGACTTTCTACTCCTAACACACCGAAGTTAATAAAATCAGCGGCAAACTTTGTCATTTAAAGTGGATGTAGGTCACGACTGAACCACTATAAACCTTGTCTTCTCTCTTCCTCTATTTTACTTAATTTTATATTGTTTAATTGACTAGTGGTGTGCAAACCGATTTTGTGCATCATCAGTTTGGCACCATCTGTGGGAACGACAGAATTTTCACCTAACCATTTTCCTTTTCTCAATCAAAGTCAATCACCACAAGAACCATGAGTCAGCAAGAAGACAGTCTAAGAGAGGAGGAGGTTGCTTCTCAACCAACCAATCCTGCCCCAAATGAGCAGTAGATGCTCGAGACCATGCAGCAACTTGCGGCCCAGAACTAACAGATCCTACAACTAATGCTCCTTAGGCGTCAAGGAGTTCTCCACATGGGCGCTCCTCATCTAGGAGGAGGAGCACAACCTGGACCTCAAGTCAGAGGAGCTCCACACCCTAGGCGTCAAGGAGCTCCCCACATGGGTGCTCCTTATCTGAGCGCCCCCTTTGGAGCCCCTTCAGGCGCCCCGCACAGGGGAGCTTCCCACAAGGGACCTCCACTTCCTCTTCCAGCTCCTTCTTTTTATGATGGAGACCTTCTTTTCTAAGAGAACGAGGGTGAAAACCAAAGCTTGAAGCATGAGAGCCATATCCATGGTAATTACAAGGGATCTCCTCCTAATCATTGGGACGAAAAAATTAAGGAGGTGCAGAATCAATTGGGTGATGTCTTCAACGCCATGAAGGCACGAGGACCCGAGATAGTGGATTACCTTGTAAGTTGAACCGACACACCTTTCAAACCTGACGTGACAAACTACCCACTCCCTCAAAAATTCAAGATGTCATCCGTCGAAACCTTTGATGGTACGAAGGATCCATTGGACCACCTTGAAACTTTTAAGACCTTTGATGCAACTGCACAACGTCCCTGACGAAATCATGTGCAGAGCGTTCCCAACCACCTTGAAAGGATCCGCTCGACAGTGGTTCGCCAAGATCACCCCCGCTTCCATCGGTTCATTTGCTGAGCTGAGCAGGTCCTTCGTGTTGCACTTTATTGGAAGACGCCGTCACCAGAAGCCTGTCACCCACCTGCTCAGCATAAAGCAGGACTGAGATGAGAGCCTGCGAAGCTATCTCACTCATTTNCCCCAACACTTGGGGGGTATCAGACTTATTGGAGCGTAACTTTCTCTCTTCTCTCAAAGCCTGCGACTTTCTACTCCTAACACACCGAAGTTAATAAAATCAGCGGCAAACTTTGTCATTTAAAGTGGATGTAGGTCACGACTGAACCACTATAAACCTTGTCTTCTCTCTTCCTCTATTTTACTTAATTTTATATTGTTTAATTGACTAGTGGTGTGCAAACCGATTTTGTGCATCATCAGTTTGGCACCATCTGTGGGAACGACAGAATTTTCACCTAACCATTTTCCTTTTCTCAATCAAAGTCAATCACCACAAGAACCATGAGTCAGCAAGAAGACAGTCTAAGAGAGGAGGAGGTTGCTTCTCAACCAACCAATCCTGCCCCAAATGAGCAGTAGATGCTCGAGACCATGCAGCAACTTGCGGCCCAGAACTAACAGATCCTACAACTAATGCTCCTTAGGCGTCAAGGAGTTCTCCACATGGGCGCTCCTCATCTAGGAGGAGGAGCACAACCTGGACCTCAAGTCAGAGGAGCTCCACACCCTAGGCGTCAAGGAGCTCCCCACATGGGTGCTCCTTATCTGAGCGCCCCCTTTGGAGCCCCTTCAGGCGCCCCGCACAGGGGAGCTTCCCACAAGGGACCTCCACTTCCTCTTCCAGCTCCTTCTTTTTATGATGGAGACCTTCTTTTCTAAGAGAACGAGGGTGAAAACCAAAGCTTGAAGCATGAGAGCCATATCCATGGTAATTACAAGGGATCTCCTCCTAATCATTGGGACGAAAAAATTAAGGAGGTGCAGAATCAATTGGGTGATGTCTTCAACGCCATGAAGGCACGAGGACCCGAGATAGTGGATTACCTTGTAAGTTGAACCGACACACCTTTCAAACCTGACGTGACAAACTACCCACTCCCTCAAAAATTCAAGATGTCATCCGTCGAAACCTTTGATGGTACGAAGGATCCATTGGACCACCTTGAAACTTTTAAGACCTTTGATGCAACTGCACAACGTCCCTGACGAAATCATGTGCAGAGCGTTCCCAACCACCTTGAAAGGATCCGCTCGACAGTGGTTCGCCAAGATCACCCCCGCTTCCATCGGTTCATTTGCTGAGCTGAGCAGGTCCTTCGTGTTGCACTTTATTGGAAGACGCCGTCACCAGAAGCCTGTCACCCACCTGCTCAGCATAAAGCAGGACTGAGATGAGAGCCTGCGAAGCTATCTCACTCATTTTTATGAGGAGATCCTTCAGGTCGAAAAACCCGATGAAAAAGTCAGCATGACCGCCTTCTTAGGAGGCCTTCGGTCATCGAGCTTCCTTTTCTCCGTGATGAAACGCCCACCAAAGAACATGCCAGAACTATTGGCAAAACTTCAAAAATTTATGAATGCTGAGAAAATCAACAGGTCCAGACGAGGTGAATCATCTCACGGATCGCCAAAAGCTTAACCTGCCTCTACACTATTCTTAATATAGGTAATCTATCTCCAGCTTAGCGACTCTCTTAAGGGTCGCCAAAAAGTTTGGCCTACCTCTACACTGTTCTTAAACAGGTAGTCTATCTCCAGCTTAACGGCTTTCTCGAGGATCACCAAAAAGTTTGGCCTACCTCTACACTGTTCTTAAACAGGTAGTCTATCTACAGCTTAGCGGCTCTCTCAAGGGTCACCAAAAAGTTTGGTCTACCTCTACACTGTTCTTAAACAGGTAGTCTATCTCCA